GCCAAAAGCTGCAAAAAAAGAAAGAAAATGTCTTGTTTTCTCACCTGTTCAGATAACTCGGCCTTACCCTCCTCTCAACTGACCCCATAATCCAGTGCCATCTACCCAGTCATCTACTGGTAAATATTTAACAGCTGTAAATGCTCTCACCATGGCTGCTTTTAGCCCACTGTGGGAACTGAATGTGGAGTTGGGAAGGAATGGGTAAGGTCAGCTCCAGGAGCTGGGACACTGCCCTGGCCCACTGCCTGGTCTGCCCTCATCTTGTGCCCTGTCCCCCTCACCCCCATAGAAAACTACACCAGCAGACTGCAATACGTCTACCTTGCACTTTTAAAAACAATAAAAACCTTTCAAAAATGGAAATTGCCTTAAGTTTTTAGCAGCGAGATTCCATTTATAATGTACAAAGCTAATGCCTCAACACTGCTAAATATTTAGCAAGAAATGCTTGCTTGGTGCAAGTATAAAATTTGAATTTGAAAGGAAGGTGCCAGAGGGACAGTGTCAAGATAAATCAGGATGTGCTCTTTTTTTTTTTGCCAGGACTGGGTTTGAACTCCCCACATCCGGCATATGGGGCTGGTGCTCTACTCCTTTGAGCCACAGGCACCACCCTAGGATGTGCTCTTGTTGATACTACAAATCAGAATGGACTGGGCGTATATGTTGCCTCTGTGGCCCTATCCAAAAGTGCACATGCAATTGGAACCACAGCCTTACAGAACTTCCTCTCAAGTAGAATGTCATGATTTTTGAGCTTCAGGAGGCCAGCTACTACTTGACCTCACTGGCTTTATCCTTAAAAAAAGTAAAAATTTAAACATGGAGATTAAGGCTGGGCATGGCGGCTCACGCCTATAATCCTAGCACTTGAGAGGCCTAGGCGGGTGGATTGCTTGAGCTCTAGAGTTTGAGACCAGCCTGAGCAAGAGTGAGACCCTGTCTCTACTAAAAATAGAAAAATTAGCGGAGTGTGGTGGCTCATGCCTGTATTCCCAGATATGCAGAGGCTGAGACAGGAGGATCACTTGAGCCTGAGAATTTCAGGTTGCTGTGAGCCACAGTGATGCTGCTGTACTCTAGTGTGGAGCAACAGAGTGAGACTTCTAAAAATATATTAAAAATAAGAATAGAGTATAATGGAAAGCATCATGTGGTAAAGGGTGGTATTTTTATTTTATTTTATTGATATTATTTTTTGAGACAAGAGTCTCACATTCTTGCTGGGATAGAGTGCCCAGGTGTGACAGCTCACAGAAATCTCAAACTCTTGGGTTCAAGCAATCCTCTTGCCTGAGCTTCCCAAGTAGCTGGGACTACAGGCACCTACCACAATGCTTGCCTAATTTTACAGAGGAGTCTTGCTCTTGCTTAGGCTGGAACTCCTGAGCTCAGCAACCCATCTAACTTGGCCTCCCAGAGTGCTAGGATTTCAGGCCTGAGCCACTGGGCCTGGCCTCCAGCGTGGTATTTTTAAAATAAGTTTTCTTTTCAGTAGACATATAATTCTACATATTTAAGGGGTACAGTGTGATGTTTTAGTACAAACGCAGATTGTGTCATGTTCCAGTCAGGAATTAGCTTACCCATCACCTCAAAAACTAGTCATTTCTTTGTGGTGAGAACATTCAGAATGTCATCTAGCTGTTTTGGAGTATACAATAAATACATTGTTGTTGACTGTAGAAGGTGGTATTGTTTTGTGAAACTGTGTTGGTGTGAAATGATTTCTTACTGTACATCATGGTCAGAAAAATTTGGAAGCTTCTGGTAGATCGTTCCCAGCTTGGCACATTGACTTGCAGACAACTGCCATTTTGTGCACGGGCGACCACCTACCGGCCTTTCAGCTGAGGTTCCGCCGGGTTCCAAAACAAACCCTTCCGAGGCTCCACGTGGCATTGCCTTAGCCGGGCTCTGCCGCCAGGTGGCGTCCGTGCCCCGCCGGGAGTGGGTTTTGCAGGCCTAGACGGTGACCGTCCACGTGGGTGATTTTCCTTCTGGTCGAATCCGGTTTACTGTCATCAGAAGCCGTGACCTCAAATATAGTTCCCAGAGCAGAACCCTGTTGGAGGGATCAGGCTGTCTCTCCTAAGACATCCATTCATCCCGGGCGGCGCCCGTAGTTCAGTGGGTAGGACGCCGGCCACAAACACCTAGGCAGGTGGGTTCGAACCCGGCCCTGGCCAGCTAAGACAACAATGACAATTGTAACAACAACAACAACAACAACAACAAAATAGCCGGGCGTTGAGACGGACTCCTGTAGTCCTAGCTACTTGGGAGGCTGAGGCAAGAGAATCACTTAAACCCAAGAGTTGGAGGTTGCTGTGAGCGGTGATGCTACAGCACTCTACCCAGGGGGGGCATAGTGAGACTCTGTCTCAAACAAAACAAAATAAAACAAAATAAAAAAAATCCATCATTCCTTCGTTCCAGTGTTCATTAAATGTCTCCGTGTGCCTGGCCGTAGTCCCCTCTCCAGGGCCTACTTCCTAGGGGGAAGGACAGACAAGAACGAAAATTCACAACCCAGTCAGTACGAAGAGTCTCCGGTCTGGGGCTTTAGAGATGAGTTCCTGGTGCCCCACGCATGGGTAAAATCCTGCCTGGCCACCTGCTGGCTGTGTGAACTCTGGGCAGCTTTCTTAGACTCCTACAGCTTGGTTCTGCTGTCACATGGGAGTGATAATTGCATCCACAATTATAGGGCTGCGTGAGCAGTGCATGAGTTAGCACTTACAGAGCACTTAACGTTTCTTAAACCAATAGTTTAAAATCCTCAATTTACAGCTGCTGGAACTGAGGATGAATTGCGGGTGGCGAAGGGGAATTCCCAAAGTCACATTTTTATCACCCATCCCCCAGAGTCCCCGAGTTAAGCCAGGGTCTATTTCATCTGTGCAGCGCTCTCTGGGGGAGGATCGGACCCAGCTCCTTTGCGGTCTGGGGGCTATCCTGTTCTAACATTCTCCTGCAGCCAGATTCTGGGATAAAGCTGCAGATGACTGGGACACGTAGGTGGCAGGGGTCCAGGAGAAGGGGCAAAACTGAGGAGTCCCCTCAGCCACATAACATGGGTACCTAGGGGCCCCATGCTTATTTGTGGCATTCCTGTTTTCTCTGTCTCTTCTGTTTTGCCTTTTTCTTCCTCCTTTCCTTACTTCATAGGTTTATTAATAGTACTGTTTAGACTGTAAAATCCACTCATTTCAATGTACAATTCAATGATTTTTAATACATTTACAGAGTTGTGCATCCATCACCACAGTTCCGTTTTAAAATATTTCCATTAGCCCCAAAAGGAGCGGTTGTTATCATCAGCTCACAATCAATTTCCTGTCTCACCTCCAACCCTAGGCAATCACTGATCTGCTTTCTGTCTAGCCAGATTTGCTTGTTCTGGAAATCCCATCTAAATGGAATCATACAGTCCTATTCTGTCTAAAACAATTTTCTATTATTCCAATTAAATAATAATTAAAATTATTCTAATTTTCTAATTTATGACCCAGCACTTCCACATCAGTAATGACTTTTACTAGTCAGGCATAGTGGCTCACACCTGCAATCCCAGCACTATGGGAGGCTGAAGAAGGATCACGTGAGCCCAGGAGTTCGAGCCTGCAGTGAGCTATAATTGTGCCATTGCACTCCAGCCTAGGCAACAAAGGGAGACCCAGTTTCTTTTCCTTTTTTAGGACACATTAAAATTTTCTTTGGGGAAAAAATATTATACTTTTAGTGAATGAACAAAAAACACTTTTACAGTCGCAGTAGGCTATTATTTTTATCTACCATGCCGTGAATTCATAGGGAAGAGGTTCCAGTAGCTCAGGGAGGCACCTTGCCATTGAATGTGACAAAGCATTGATTAACTTTTGAATTCATGGGAAATAGGTTCCAACACCTTGTATCATCACTGTTACATGGGGTCTATTGGTTATCCTATGTGCTATGCTGTACACCTATTATGCCATGAGCACATGGGGAATATATAGGTTCTTGCACCTAAAAACATGGGTCCACTGGTACTCCTGTGTGCTATGTTATATGCTTATTGTGCCATAAATTCATAGCGCATGCATCCTCAAACAACAGCCCGTGGGCCACATGTGGCCCGCCTAAGACATTTATCCAGCCTGCCGGGTGTTTTTGCCACCGCTGCCTGTTCTGCTTAGCAGCTGACTCATTCTGGGGCCCAGAATCTGGCCCTCCAATGGTCTGAGGGACAGTGAACTGGCTCCCTGTTTAAAAAGTTTGAGGACTCCTGTCATAGGGAATGGGTTCTAGGACTTCAGGCTCCTTTCCGTTGGTTCTCACAAAGTGGGCTTCTCTGGGTGGAGCAGGCTGGCGCTTCAGTTGAACCCAGGTACCTTTCTCTTTGGCTTTCTTCTTTTTCTGATCATTTTCTTTCACATGTTTCAGGAAGCTATCTCGG